TTTTTAATTATATATATATATATTATCATTGACAAAAAATTAAATAATATTTATATATTAATATTTAATTAATTATTTTATTTTAGACTTTTATTTATGGAAGAAGTGGTAATCCTACAAGAAATGTTTTACAAACATGTTTAGCTGCTCTAGAAGATGGAAAACATGGATTGTTTTTTCATCGGGTTTAGGTGCTACAACTGTTTTAACTTCACTATTAAATGCAGGAGATCATATTATATCTGGAGATGATATTTATGGTGGAACTAATCGTTTTTTCAAAAATTGTTTAAAAAATATTTTAGTAACATTTGTGGATATGATAGACATAAATAATATTATAACCAATATACAACCAAATACAAAGGTAGAAATTTTGAAATTTAATCTCATACTATATCAATAGATATAGGTATTTAAAAAAAATATAATGTTTATATTTACATTTTTATTTAGATGATTTGGTTAGAGACACCAACTAATCCTTTACTTAAAGTAATTGATATTGAAGCAGTTACTCAAGCAGTGAAGCAAATAAATCCTGAAATTCTTGTAATAGTAGACAATACTTTCCTAACATGTTATTATCAAGTAAATATTTTTCATTTATTGTTATGATTTAATTAAATAATTTATATAATTACACATATATTTTCTTTTAGAAACCATTAAAATTGGGTGCAGATATTGTAATATATTCCTTAACAAAGTACATGAATGGGCATTCAGATGTTATTATGGGTGCAGCAATTACAAATAGAGAAGATATTGCAAATAGACTTCGATTTTTACAAAATGGTAATATAATAATTTATTTTTCTTTAATATTTGTTTTATTTGTAAGTAACTTTTTAATTATTTTTAGCTATGGGCGTTGTTTCATCACCTCTAGATTGTTTTTTAGTTAATCGCAGTTTAAAAACTCTAGAACTTAGAATGCAACAACATATGAAACATGGGCTTGCAGTTGCAAAATTTTTACAATCACATCCATGTGTAGAAAAAGTATTTCATCCATGTATGTATTTATGAAGTATAAATTTTATATAAAATAACTTATTTTATAAAAATAATTATTTAATCATAGATTTACCATCACATCCACAGCATGAACTTGCTATTAGACAAACATCTGGTCATAGTGGAATGGTTTCATTTTATCTAAAGGGTGATTCTAGTAAATTTCTAAAGGCATTAAAGATATTTACATTAGCAGAATCACTTGGTGGTTATGAATCTCTTGCTGAATTGCCGTAAGTAAACTAAAACTAAAATAATTCTTTATTATGAAATATTCAGACACATATAACTATTATTTATTTTCATAATTATTATTATTTTAACTTTTTTCATAGATCTGTTATGACTCATGCTTCAATTCCTGAAGAAACTAAAAAAATATTAGGTATTAATGATAAATTAATTCGGTTGTCTGTTGGTCTTGAAACTGAAAGGGATATTTTGGCTGATCTTGATCAAGCTCTTAAAGCTAGTCAATAAATATTTATATCTACAAATAAATTTTATAATCTACAAATAATTTTATATGCATATTCATAGTGTTGAATTGCTACTATATATAATATATATGTTAACATGATATATTATAATATATTATCTATTAATTATATTATCATTAAACAGATAATATTATATATAAATTATATAATTTTTTTTTTAAGAAAAAGAATATTACCAATCGTGTTTTTACATTCCTTGCTATATTATTAATGTTTGAATATTAAAAATACTGTAGTATTAAAAATACATAACTTATTCCTAATGTCACATTTTACATATTTTTATATTTTTTATACGAAAAAGGTGTAAAATGCTGTACAATGATCACTAAAAGAAATTTTAAATATCACATTCTTATATCATAAATAATATAACTATAATATATAATTGCATAAAAATAATAGTTAATAATTAATTAAAAATTAATAATTAAAAAAAAAATAAATATTTGAATCAAATATAATTTACTAAATAAAATAAAATAAAATATTTTTATTTACTTATGATTTTATATTAATAAATAATATAAAAAAATATTCTGAAATATATTTAATAAATAGATTGTATTGAATTAAAAAAATTTTATACATATATTACTCTATTAAAAAAAATTAATTGTTCTTTTCTTATATTATGATTGATTTTTGTAATCATATATATTTTTATTATATCCAATTAAAACTGATTATTTATAAATATTAATTATAAAATATTTAAAATGCAAAATATATTTTTGTCATTTTTTATTTAATATTTCAAATATTTAATTATTGTAATAAATAAAATATTATATTATAAAATTGATACTAAATTTAATTTAGTTTATTTTCATTTTAATTAAAGTTATTTAATTTTTGCATTATGCAGATATTTTTTATTAAATTTCAAATCTTAATGATTTTAATAAATAATATTATTGTAAATTAACTTTAGAATTATATCGCAATTTTGCTTTGTTTAATTTATCATATTCTTGTGCCCGATTATATAACAATACTCCTATTATTACTAAAGATGTTCCCATAGCTGATAAACTAGTTACTGGATTATTAAATAATAAAACAGAAAGCCAAATTAAAGAAGCTCTCTTTGCAGTATTAACAACACTGTAACAAAAAAAATATTATTATAATCAAATTTTCAAAATATTTTGTTAATAAATGTATATCTATATAAAATATTACAATAATATAAAATAGTATAAAAAACACACCTATGTGTCACAGGACTAATATAATTCATAAGTACATATGCAGTAATACTTTGAAAATGAAAGAATACTCCATTAAGTAGAAATGCTATGAATAATTTAGAACTTAAAGAATGTTCAAGTGTTGGTAAATCTACAAATAATATCAAAACTGGTATTTGTACCACAATTGATGCTAAACTAGTATAGAATTGCAGTTCTGCAGGCCTGTAATTTTATAATATTGGTAATTGGAATAAAAAATATTGTTGAATATAATATAAATTGATGAATAAATAACTACTTTATACAAAATATTTTATACATACATATATATACTTACGTATATCTAAAATTATCACCACTGATTAACATTTTGGAATAAACATTTTGTAAGCATTCTGTTACATTTGTAGCCATAGCAGCAATAAATCCTCTGAGATCAAAACTTATTTCATTTATTGAACATAGAGCTAAACCACCCATTAAAGGAATTAAAGATAAATTTACATATAATCCTGTATGTTCTCCTATAAATGATATATCAAAATTGTTAAATATAACTATCAAGTATAATTTCTATATATTAATTATCTTATAAATCAATTTTAATTATGAAAAATAAGATTTTAAAAATAAAAATTGTAGTAATAATATAAAATAAAATATAGTTATAAATTATATTATCATTACAATTCTTACCTAATAAATATCTGCTAATAAGGACGGTAAAAAGTGGTGCACTACTTTTTATGGTTTCTGTGAAACTTACTGCTACATAATTAAGTGATATTAATCCTAATACTACAGTTGTAAATCTTGTACATCCAACCAATATCATATGCTTATAAAAACCTGCTGGTCTCATTAATTTAGGACGTGCTTTATACATTCCACATGGAAAATACATTTGTATAAATCCACAAACTGTGGTTATTAACATTTGACAAGCACCTATCAAAAAATAATAAATATATATATATATATATATTATATATATAAAATAATATTTGGAAAATATTTTAAACTTACAATTTTTATTATAAAATACAAAGATATTAGTTATAATATTTTAAGAATACAATTTTAAATTATTAAAAGATATTTATTATTAAAGAAATCTTTGATAATAAAATATTTCTTTGATGAAATAAAAAATTTTATATAAATATTAATTTACCTAAAATTGTAGGATTACCCTCCATATAAGATAATATATATTTATTTAAGAATAAAGTACATCCACTGATGAGGTACCATAATAATAGAAATAACATAATTTTGGGATAAAAAGAACTATCCATTACTTCATTTGTTAAAGTTGTATCTTCGTGTTTTTTAATATTTTCTTCATATATTTTAGTTTCATTATCATGTATTAATGGTTGTTCTGTGTCACGAGGTGTTAATGTATAATTTATACGAATTGAATGATTTTCCATTATATACAGTTTTTCTTAAAATGTTTACAATATTACATACAATTACATTTTTTGTCAATGATCACATTTTTACACGTCACATTTATATGATGTTTACATTTGTATGTTTCCTTCAAGAATTATGATAGGTTATGTTGTCAGATATTTTTAAATTTATAATTAAAATTTTAATTTTAATTATGTGATGTAATATAAAAAGCTTTTCAGACTTTATATTATACTAAAATTAGTATAAAATTTTGTATTTAAATATTAATTAAAGTTATTTCATAATTTATGAACTATTATAAAATAATATAGTTTTAATTGTACTTAAATTCATATGTTTACTATATATGATTATTTCAACATAACCTATAACATTATGCAAAACAAAATAAATGAATAAAACAGAATTTGTTGGTAAATTTATTTCTCTAATGTACGTATTTCATATATAATTACATAAACAATACAAACTAATATATATTTAATAATAATAATTATTATTATTATATTTCGTGTAAAATAATGTACAATTTTTTACATTTTTCCATATAATTTTTTATGAAAATTATAAATTGTTTTATAATTTTTTTTATAAAAACCAACTATTTTACAATAATAACAATATTTTATATCATAACTCAATGTATGATGTTTTTTCAGATGAACTTGTTTTTATAATTTTTTCAAAACAATATTTTGTAAAAAAATCTTGATATGCTAATAATGCAACATTTCTTCCACCTATTGCACTCATTTCCATTGCACTAGCAATCCATTCAATAGCATTAACATAATAAAGAGCATCATGTAATTTAAATTTTGCTTCATGAATTCTGGTTGAATATTCAGGATATGCTTTCCAAAAAATCTGTTTTGTTTCCTGAACCTGAAAAATATGTATTAATTAAACTAATTTTATTTATTATGTCATATATCATAATTTATATAAGAATTATCTTATCTTACATTTGAAAACATTTCATTTATAATTTTTGATTTTAATGGTTTGTTGCTAAATATCTTCCAAATTTTACTATTTTTTATTATACCATCTACAGAATTTAATCTTCCTACAGAATTAATTATAGTTTTGTTAGGATCACAACTTAAAATATTATCTAATTCTTCTTGTAAACCAAAATAATGTGGTTTTAAATCTGCTTTAACAAATGTAGCTACAGTTTCATGATATTTTTCAAAACTATAAAAATCATTTTTTGGAAATCCTTCAAAAGTGATAGGAAATTCCTGATCATGTGTAAGTGGAATTGCCAAAATGACAATATCATATATTGCTTTCATTATTATTGTACTACCTAAAATAATTACTTTTACTTACATAACTGTATACAATATATGAATAATATTAATATATTATACCTTTATTGCAATAATGTACTTCATATAAATTTTGATTATCATTCTGTGGTATATTAACAATTTTAATTACATGTGAAGGCACAACATTTAAATGCTTATTTCTATATATTAAGTGCTCAGGTACCTTAAATATCAATATATTATTAATTATAAATTAATAACTAGAAAATTAACATTAGTTAATAAGAGAGTAACCTTTTTATTTCCCCCTTTAACAGACCACAAATTAAAACCTGCTCCAGCTAAAGATACAAAACCAACAAAGCTATGAATATTTATATCTTGTCCATAGTTTACTACTAATGTTGTTTTAACAATTTCATTAATAATTTTTTCTGAATAACCAAGATCTAAAAGTTCATTTTTAATAGATTTTTGTACTAATTTTGGAAATTCAGTATTTATAGATAACAAAAAACTACTAATATTTGTAAAAGTTTTTCCACTGTCTTGCAGATGATATATTTTTTCAAAATTATTTATTATAGAAGTTGTATATCTGTTTAAAATAATAAATTATTATTATAATATTAGATACAATGAATAGATTTTTGATATAAGTATCTGATAAAATTTTTTAAAAATATATGAAATACCTATTCAGACTAAATGGTTGAATACCATATCTATAAATTAAGTTAATTAGTGACAATAATTCCCATTTATTTTCTTCAAATACAATTTCATTACCATTCCAAATACTTGTTCTTTGATCATTAAATGATCTATGTTCTAAGCCTAAACCATTAGATAATAAATATAGATCAGATTATAAATATATTAGATATAAATATATAGAATAGATTATAAATTTTAAAAATAAAAATCACATTTTAAATAATTTTTTTCAATCATATAGAATAAAAAGACATAAAATAAAATACCAAGTAATTTAACAAATTCTTGCATGTATTTATTTTGAGAATGTATAAGTGAACCTCCAGCTTCAAATTCATTATTATTAATTTTTATTGTAGCCAAACGCCCACCGATAGTTTTTGCTTCATATAAATCGATATTAAGATTATTTTCAAATAATTCTGCAAGAAAATGAGAACTTGCTGCACCACCAATGCCACCTCCAATAATTGCTAAAATCACATTTTTAAATTAAAAAAAATTTATAAATTAAAAAAAAAAGGACAAATTCAACATATATCACTAATAGACGCTTTATTAGATTTTCCATTTATTAAAAATATTAAACATGTATTAAACATATATATATATTATAACATATATTAAACATATTAAAAATAATATCTTTATTGTTGGTAATATATTTATTTTATGATAATTTTTTTTATGGTTAAATATAAAATTTTATTTTATATTATTAATATACATTCAAAAGAATCTAATTTTAATTAATAAATCTTTGCTTACCTATATTTGGTTTACAATTTTTAAAACAAATTCCTTTCTTAAAAATCATTATACATAACAAAATTATATACCAATCCATAATTTCACTTTATACAAGTTATATTATATATATTATAACAATTATATTATACATATTTGCTGTAAAGAATATTGTAGCACGTAGTACATAAATGTAGCTATATCTTTCTGAAAAAAAAAATCAACTCTAAGATAATTAGTTTGAAGATATTAATAGAATAATTATTCTATTTAATAATAATAATTTTTAATGATTATCACATATATGCAAATAGTAACTTCATTCATTGAATTACATCTATATAAACCAATATAACATCGTAATCATTTATCAAATATGTTTAAAAAACACTAACTTTACGAATAATTTTTAAATTAGCGAATTCTTAAAATTAATATTTTTAAATTATAGCCATTAAAAAGTTAGAAAATATAAAAATTAACAATTTTTTGTATTTCAAAAAAAAAAAAGTTTTATTCATCAGAATTACTTCGAAATTTATTGATATAATATTATACAATATATAATATCATATAATAAAAAATATATATAATATATAAGAATTATTGCAATAATAATTGATATATGATATATTAACTATTTATTTTCATAAAGATAGAATATAATTTATATTACATAGTTTAATACGAATTTTTATTTCAAAACCTATTTGAATTGATTTAATCTTTTTTTTTTATTATAATAATTTTAAATGCTATTCTCTTTCCCCTAGATTTATCTATGGTTTTATTTATATAATATATAGGATTATTCTTTCCATAGTGAAAAACACATGTGTTACATTTTCTTTTTATTAACCTTATCTTAAAGAACTTTATATATCTTTTTATACGATTTCTTTAAAATTAATAATGAAAAAAAAACAGTTAAAACGTAAAAGAATCGAAGATATTAATAAAGAGAATGTACCAGATATGGAAATTTTACCATTAAAAAGAATGTCAGATGAACCATTATCAAAAAAGGTTTGAAATTTTTATAATGTAATAAATTTAGATAATAAATTTAAAAATAATATATAAAGTAAATTTTTAAATGAAAAAAAAAACTAAGAGATGAGAATTAGTCTTTTAAATTTATTGTAAAAATTTATAGATAAAAATATAGACATATTACAATTGATAATTTTTTTTATTATCAATTACAATTATAAATTTTCATTTTATAATGAAGGTGAAATGGATTAATAAGCAACGAGTTTTAGTATTTGCTACTAGAGGTATTAGTTATAGACATCGTCATCTTATGAGTGACTTAAAAACTCTTATGCCTCATCATCGTTCTGAATCTAAAATGGAACGTACTAAAAACTTACAAGTTGTTAATGAAATGTGTGAAATGAAAAATTGCAATAAAACAATATTATTTGAAGGTAGAAAAAAAAGAGACTTGTATTTATGGTTTTCTAACATTTCTGTAGGACCAAGTGTAAAATTTCTTGTTGAAAATAGTAAGTAAATTAATCATTTTATTTAATTTATAGATTAAGCTTTATAAATTAAAGTTTTATTAGAAGTAATTTTAATAATGTAAAAAAAAATAATGACTTTATTATAGTTTACAAAAAAAATTATGTTACAGTTTATACTATGGCAGAATTAAAAATGACTGGAAATTGTTTAAAAGGTTCTAGACCATTATTATCATTTGATGAAAATTTTAACACAAAATTACATTATAGTCTTTTAAAAGAATTGCTTATTCAAATTTTCGATGTTCCTAATCATCATCCTAAAACACAACCATTTTTTGATCATATATATACATTTACTATATTAGATAACAGAATATGGTTTAGAAATTTCCAAATTTTAACAGAAGATGGTGGTTTAGCTGAAATAGGTCCTCGCTTTGTATTAAATCCAATAAAAATATTTACTGATAGTTTTGGTGGAGAAGTACTTTGGGATAATCCAACTTATGTTTCTCCTGCTAAGGTATAAATATATCATAGTAATTTTAATATTATAAAAATGAAAATTCTAAATTCAATAACTTTTTAAATTATAGTTTCGACACTCTTTAAACAAAAATAATACTAGTAAATATATGAATAAGATGGATCAGAAAATAATACAAAAAGTTAATAAACCAAAAGAATCTTATTCATTGAATCCTATGGATGAGATATTTAAAGGTGATCCATTAGAAAAAGCAATAGAATTGCAACAAAAAGAAACAATAGATATACAGAATAATGACAGTA